CATTTTGCCAGATTTTCTTTCAAAAATGAGAAATAAGCCTTATCATTTTCTATGAATATGTCAGTTCGACATGATTTTCATCAAGTGTGTTACATATATACATGTGAAGATTCCTAGCAATCCGCAACCAAAAAATCCATGAGCTATTTCCTGATTCTGGCTGAAGCAATTTGACTTTGCCCTTTCATGATACATTACATTATGTTTATTCATCCAAATTGTAGAATATACATCTGAAATACCAACATCAGAAGTTGCATCAACCACTCTACCAACAGTTACCTCCCAAGAAACATTTGAAACAACCGAACAGTCTAGATCTTCTGAAGCAAGTATTACCACAATAGAAACAGTCACACAGGAAACAGATTATCTTTCATCCACTTTGGATTCTGGTACTGGGATAACACAAACATCTGAATATGCAACATCCACTATTGAAACTGTTACCTCTACTGATTTGCCAACAGCTCCTATCTCAACAGGTGAATATGTTTTCCCATGCAGATGTTTGGTCGTATTGTCTTTTGCAAAACAACATCAACAGTCTGTTTATCTACTCTTAGTACACTGACATTTACATTGACTTCATACATACAATACAAGTGTTCCTCAATTGCAACAATTTCCAGCAACATATATTTTGTTCTCATTATTGTTTTCTCCATCTAATTTACATGATTCCAACTCAATACATGTTAGTGATGAATTTATATGATCACTGTTCTCTGATATTGTTTCAAACATGAAAAATAAGCCTTATCATTTTCTATGAATATGTCAGTTTGACATGACTTTTTATCAAGTCTGGTACATATATAGATGTGAAGATTTCTTGCATTCATCAACAAATAATTCCATGAGTTGTTTCCTGATTCTGGCTGAAGCAATTTGATTTTCCCCTTCATGATACATTACATTATGTTTATTCATCCAAATTGTAGAACATACATCTGAAATACCAACATCAGAAGTTGCATCAACCACTCTACCAACAGTTACCTCCCAAGAAACATTTGAAACAACTGAACAGTCTAGATCTTCTGAAGCAAGTATTACCACAATAGAAACAGTCACAGAGGAAACAGATTACCGTTCATCTACTTTGGATTCTGGTACTGGGATAACACAAACATCTGAATATGCAACATCCACTATTGAAACTGTTACCTCTACTGATTTGCCAACAGCTCCTATCTCAACAGGTGAATAAGTTTTTCCATGCAGATGTTTGGTCGTATTGTCTTTTGCAAAACAACATCAACAGTCTGTTTATCTACTCTTAGTACACTGACATTTACATTGACTTCATACATACAATACAAGTGTTTCTCAATTGCAACAATTTCCATCAACATATTTTGTTCTCATTATTGTTTTCTCCATCTAATTTACATGTTCCCATCTCAATACATGTTAGTGATGAATCTATATGATCATTTTTTCCCAGATTTTCTTTCAAACATGAAAAATAAGCCTTATCATTTTCTATGAATATGTCAGTTCGACATGACTTTTTATCAAGTCTGGTACATATATAGATGTGAAGATTTCTTGCATTCATCAACAAATAATTCCATGAGCTGTTTCCTGATTCTGGCTGAAGCAATTTGATTTTCCCCTTCATGATACATTACATTATGTTTATTCATCCAAATTGTAGAACATACATCTGAAATACCAACATCAGAAGTTGCATCAACCACTCTACCAACAGTTACCTCCCAAGAAACATTTGAAACAACTGAACAGTCTAGATCTTCTGAAGCAAGTATTACCACAATAGAAACAGTCACAGAGGAAACAGATTACCTTTCATCTACTTTGGATTCTGGTACTGGGATAACACAAACATATGAATATGCAACATCCACTATTGAAACTGTTACCTCTACTGATTTGCCAACAGCTCCTATCTCAACAGGTGAATAAGTTTTTCCATGCAGATGTTTGGTCGTATTGTCTTTTGCAAAACAACATCAACAGTCTGTTTATCTACTCTTAGTACACTGACATCTACATTGACTTCATACGTACAATACAAGTGTTCCTCAATTGCAACAATTTCCAGCAACATATATTTTGTTCTCATTATTGTTTTCTCCATCTAATTTACATGATCCCAACTCAATACTTGTTAGTGATGAATCTATATGATCATTTTTCTCTGATTTTGTTTCAAACATGAAAAATAAGCCTTATCATTTTCTATGAATATGTCAGTTCGACATGATTTTCATCAAGTGTGTTACATATATACATGTGAAGATTCCTAGCAATCCGCAACCAACAAATCCATGAGCTATTTCCTGTTTCTGTCTGAAGCAATTTGACTTTGCCCTTCATGATACATTACATTATGTTTATTCATCCAAATTGTAGAATATACATCCGAAATACCAACATCAGAAGTTGCATCAAGCACTCTACCAAAAGTTACCTCCCAAGAAACATTTGAAACAACCAAACAGTCTAGATCTTTTGAAACAAGTATTACCACAATAGAAACAGTCACACAGGAAACAGATTACCTTTCATCCACTTTGGATTCTGGTACTGGGATAACACAAACATCTGAATATGCAACATCCACTATTGAAACTGTTACCTCTACTGATTTGCCAACAGCTCCTATCTCAACAGGTGAATACGTTTTTCCATGCAGTTGTTTGGTTGTATTGTCTTTTGCAAAACAACATCAACAGTCTGTTTATCTACTCTTAGCACACTGACATTTACATTGACTTCATATATACAATACAAGTGTTTCTCAATTGCAACTATTTCCATCAACATATTTTGTTCTCATTATTGTTTTCTCCATCTAATTTACATGATCCCATCTCGATACATGTTAGTGATGAATCTATATGATCATTTTTCCCAGATTTTCTTTCAAACATGAAAAATAAGCCTTATCATTTTCTATGACTATGTCAGTTCGACATGACTTTTTATCAAGTCTGGTACATATATAGATGTGAAGATTTCTTGCATTCATCAACAAATAATTCCATGAGCTGTTTCCTGATTCTGGCTGAAGCAATTTGATTTTCCCCTTCATGATACATTACATTATGTTTATTCATCCAAATTGTAGAACATACATCTGAAATACCAACATCAGAAGTTGCAACAAGCACTCTACCAACAGTTACCTCCCAAGAAACATTTGAAACAACCGAACAGTCTAGATCTTCTGAAGCAAGTATTACCACAATAGAAACAGTCACACAGGAAACAGATTACCTTTCATCCACTTTGGATTCTGGTACTGGGATAACGCAAACATCTGAATATGCAACATCCACTATTGAAACTGTTACTTCTACTGATTTGCCAACAGCTCCTATCTCAACAGGTGAATAAGTTTTTCCATGCAGATGTTTTGTTTTATTTTCTTTTGCAAAATAACATCAACAGTCTGTTCACCTACTCTTAGCACACTGACATTTACATTGACTTCATACATACAATACAAGTGTTTCTCAATTGCAACAATTTCCATCAACATATATTTTGTTCTCATTATTGTTTTCTCCTTCTAATTTACATGATCCCAACTCAATACATGTTAGTGATGAATTTATATGATCACTGTTCTCTGATATTGTTTCAAACATGAAAAATAAGCCTTATCATTTTCTATGAATATGTCAGTTCGACATGACTTTTTATCAAGTCTGGTACATATATAGATGTGAAGATTTCTTGTATTCATCAACAAATAATTGCATGAGCTGTTTCTCAATTCTGGTGGAGGCAATTTGACTTTGCCCTTCATGATACATTACATTATGTGTATTCATCCAAATTGTAGAATATACATCTGAAGTACCAACATCAGAAGTTGCATCAAGCAATCTACCAACAGTTACCTCCCAAGAAACATTTGAAACAACCGAACAGTCTAGATCTTCTGAAGCAAGTATTACCACAATAGAAACAGTCACACAGGATACAGATTACCTTTCATCCACTTTGGATTCTGGTACTGGGATAACACAAACATCTGAATATGCAACATCCACTATTGAAACTGTTGCCTCTACTGATTTGCCAACAACTCCTTTCTCAACAGGTAAATAAGTTTTTCCATGCAGATGTTTGGTTTTATTTTCTTTTGCAAAATAACATCAACAGTCTGTTTACCTACTCTTAGCACACTGACATTTACATTGACTTCATACATACAATACAAGTGTTTCTCAATTGCAACAATTTCCAGCAACATATATTTTGTTCTCATTATTGTTTTCTCCATCTAATTTACATGATTCCAACTCAATACATGTTAGTGATGAATCTATATGATCATTTTTCTCTGATATTGTTTCAAACATGAAAAATAAGCCTTATCATTTTCTATGAATATGTCAGTTCGAAATGACTTTTTATCAAGTCTGATACATATATAGATGTGAAGATTCCTTGCATTCATCAACAACTAATTGCATGTGCTGTTTCTCAATTCTGGCGGAGGCAATTTGACTTTGCCCTTCATGATACATTGCATTATGTTTATTCATCCAAAATGTAGAATATACATCTGAAATACCAACATCAGAAGTTGCATCAACCACTCTACCAACAGTTACCTCCCAAGAAACATTTGAAACAACTGAACAGTCTAGATCTTTTGAAACAAGTATTACCACAATAGAAACAGTCACACAGCAAACAGATTACCTTTCATCCACTTTGGATTTTGGTACTGGGATAACACAAACATCTGAATATGCAACATCCACTATTGAAACTGTTACCTCTACTGATTTGCCAACAGCTCCTATCTCAACAGGTGAATACGTTTTTCCATGCAGTTGTTTGGTTGTATTGTCTTTTGCAAAACAACATCAACAGTCTGTTTATCTACTCTTAGCACACTGACATTTACATTGACTTCATACATACAATACAAGTGTTTCTCAATTGCAACAATTTCCAGCAACATATTTTGTTCTCATTATTGTTTTCTCCTTCTAATTTACATGATCCCAACTCAATACATGTTAGTGATGAATCTATATGATCATTTTTCTCTGATATTCTTTCAAACATGAAAAATAAGCCTTATCATTTTCTATGAATATGTCAGCTGAACATGACTATTTTTCAAGTCTGGTACATATATACATGTGTAGATTCCTAGCAATTATTAACAAAAAATTCCATGAGCTGTTTCCTGATTATGGCTGAAGCAATTTGATTTTCCCCTTCATGATACATTACATTATGTTTATTCATCCAAATTGTAGAATATACATCTGAAATACCAACATCAGAAGTTGCATCAACCACTCTACCAACAGTTACCTCCCAAGAAACATTTGAAACAACCGAACAGTCTAGATCTTCTGAAGCAAGTATTACCACAATAGAAACAGTCACACAGGAAACAGATTACCTTTCATCCACTTTGGATTCTGGTACTGGGATAACGCAAACATCAGAATATGCAACATCCGCTATTGAAACTGTTTCCTCTACTGATTTGCCAACAGCTCATATCTCAACAGGTGAATAAGTTTTTCCATGCAGATGTTTGGTTTTATTTTCTTTTGCAAAATAACATCAACAGTCTGTTTACCTACTCTTAGCACACTGACAACTATATTGACTTCATACATACAATACAAGTGTTCCTCAATTGCAACAATTTCCGTCAACATATAGTTTGTTCTCATTATTGTTTTCTCCTTCTAATTTTCATGATCCCAACTCAATACATGTTAGTGATGAATCTATATGATCATTTTTCTCTGATTTTGTTTCAAACATGAAAAATAAGCCTTATCATTTTCTATGAATATGTCAGTTCGACATGACTTTTTATCGAGTCTGGTACATATATAGATGTGAAGATTCCTTGCATTCATCAACAACCAATTGCATGAGCTGTTTCTCAATTTTGGCGGAGGCAATTTGACTTTGCCCTTCATGATACATTACATTATGTTTATTCATCCAAATTGTAGAATATACATCCGAAATACCAACATCAGAAGTTGCATCAACCACTCTACCAACAGTTACCTCCCAAGAAACATTTGAAACAACCGAACAGTCTAGATCTTCTGTAGCAACTATTGCCACTATAGAGACAGTCACACAGGAAACAGAGTACCTTTCATCCACTTTGGATTCTGGTACTGGGCTAACACAAACATCTGAATATGCAACATCCACTATTGAAACTGTTACCTCTACTGATTTGCCAACAGCTCCTTTCTCAACAGGTAAATAAGTTTTTCCATGCAGATGTTTGGTTTTATTTTCTTTTGCAAAATAACATCAACAGTCTATTTACCTACTCTTAGCACACTGACATTTATATTGACTTCATACATACAATACAAGTGTTCCTCAATTGCAACAATTTCCATCAACATATAGTTTGTTCTCATTATTGTTTTCTCCTTCTAATTTACATGATCCCAACTCAATACATGTTAGTGATGAATCTATATGATCATTTTTCTCTGATTTTGTTTCAAACATGAAAAATAAGCCTTATCATTTTCTATGAATATGTCAGTTCGACATGACTTTTTATCGAGTCTGGTACATATATAGATGTGAAGATTCCTTGCATTCATCAACAAATAATTGCATGAGCTGTTTCTCAATTTTGGCGGAGGCAATTTGACTTTGCCCTTCATGATACATTACATTATGTTTATTCATCCAAATTGTAGAATATACATTCGAAATACCAACATCAGAAGTTGCATCAACCACTCTACCAACAGTTACCTCCCAAGAAACATTTGAAACAACCGAACAGTCTAGATCTTCTGTAGCAACTATTGCCACTATAGAGACAGTCACACAGGAAACAGAGTACCTTTCATCCACTTTGGATTCTGGTACAGGGCTAACACAAACATCTGAATATGCAACATCCACTATTGAAACTGTTACCTCTACTGATTTGCCAACAGCTCCTTTCTCAACAGGTAAATCAGTTTTTCCATGCAGATGTTGGGTTTTATTTTCTTTTGCAAAATAACATCAACAGTCTGTTTACCTACTCTTAGCACACTGACATTTACATTGACTTCATACATACAATACAAGTGTTCCTCAATTGTAATTCCTCATTTTTGCCAGATTTTCTTTCAAAAATGAGAAATACAGCCTGATCATTTTCTATGAATATGTCAGTTCGACATGATTTTCATCAAGTGTGTTACATATATACATGTGAAGATTCCTAGCAATCCGCAACCAAAAAATCCATGAGCTATTTCCTGATTCTGGCTGAAGCAATTTGACTTTGCCCTTCATGATACATTACATTATGTTTATTCATCCAAATTGTAGAATATACATCTGAAATACCAACATCAGAAGTTGCATCAACCACTCTACCAACAGTTACCTCCCAAGAAACATTTGAAACAACCGAACAGTCTAGATCTTCTGAAGCAAGTATTACCACAATAGAAACAGTCACACAGGAAACAGATTACCTTTCATCCACTTTGGATTCTGGTACTGGGATAACACAAACATCTGAATATGCAACATCCACTATTGAAACTGTTACCTCTACTGATTTGCCAACAGCTCCTTTCTCAACAGGTAAATAAGTTTTTCCATGCAGATGTTTGGTTTTATTTTCTTTTGCAAAATAACATCAACAGTCTGTTTACCTACTCTTAGCACACTGATATTTACATTGACTTCATACATACAATACAAGTGTTCCTCAATTGCAATTCCTCATTTTTGCCAGATTTTCTTTCAAACATGAGAAATAAGCCTTATCATTTTCTATGAATATGTCAGTTCGACATGACTTTTTATCAAGTGTGTTATATTTATACATGTGAAGATTCCTAGCAATCCGCAACCAAAAAATCCATGAGCTATTTCCTGATTCTGGCTGAAGCAATTTGACTTTGCCCTTCATGATACATTACATTATGTTTATTCATCCGAATTGTAGAATATACATCTGAAATACCAACATCAGAAGTTGCATCGACCACTTTACCAACAGTTACCTCGGAAAAAACATTTGAAACAACCGAACAGTCTAGATCTTTTGAAACAAGTATTACCACAATAGAAACAGTCACACAGGAAACAGATTACCTTTCATCCACTTTGGATTCTGGTACTGGGCTAACACAAACATCTGAATATGCAACATCCACTATTGAAACTGTTACCTCTACTGATTTGCCAACAGCGTCTATCTCAACAGGTGAATACGTTTTTCCATGCAGTTGTTTGGTTGTATTGTCTTTTGCAGAACAACATCAACAGTCTGTTAATCTACTCTTAGTACACTGACATTTACATTGACTTCATACATACAATACAAGTGTTTCTGAATTGCAACAATTTCCATCAACATATTTTGTTCTCATTATTGTTTTCTCCTTCTAATTTACATGATCCCAACTCAATACATGTTAGTGATGAATCTATATGATCATTTTTCCCAGTTTTTCTTTCAAACATGAAAAATAAGCCTTATCATTTTCTATGAATATGTCAGCTCAACATGACTATTTTTCAAGTCTGGTACATATATACATGTGAAGATTCCTCGCAATTATTAACAAAAAAATCCATGAGCTGTTTCCTGATTCTGGCTGAAGCAATTTGATTTTGCCCTTCATGATACATTACATTATGTTTATTCATCCAAATTGTAGAATATACATCTGAAATACCAACATCAGAAGTTGCATCAACCACTCTACCAACAGTTACCTCCCAAGAAACATTTGAAACAACCGAACAGTCTAGATCTTCTGAAGCAAGTATTACCACAATAGAAACAGTCACACATGAAACAGATTACCTTTCATCCACTTTGGATTCTGGTACTGGGATAACGCAAACATCTAAATATGCAACATCCACTATTGAAACTGTTACCTCTACTGATTTGCCAACAGCTCCTATCTCAACAGGTGAATAAGTTTTTCCATGCAGATGTTTGGTTTTATTTTCTTTTGCAAAATAACATCAACAGTCTGTTTACCTACTCTTAGCACACTGACATTTACATTGACCTCATACATACAATACAAGTGTTCCTCAATTGCAACAATTTCCATCAACATATAGTTTGTTCTCATTATTGTTTTCTCCTTCTAATTTACATGATCCCAACTCAATACATGTTAGTGATAAATCTATATGATCATTTTTCTCTGATTTTGTTTCAAACATGAAAAATAAGCCTTATCATTTTCTATGAATATGTCAGTTCGACATGACTTTTTATCGAGTCTGGTACATATATAGATGTGAAGATTCCTTGCATTCATCAACAAATAATTGCATGAGCTGTTTCTCAATTCTGGCGGAGGCAATTTGACTTTGCCCTTCATGATACATTACATTATGTTTATTCATCCAAATTGTAGAATATACATCCGAAATACCAACATCAGAAGTTGCATCAAGCACTCTACCAACAGTTACCACCCAAGAAACATTTGAAACAACCGAACAGTCTAGATCTTCTGAAGCAAGTATTACCACAATAGAAACAGTCACACAGGAAACAGATTACCTTTCATCCACTTTGGATTCTGGTACTGGGATAACGCAAACATCTGAATATGCAGCATCCACTATTGAAACTGTTGCCTCTACTGATTTGCCAACAGCTCCTTTCTCAACAGGTAAATAAGTTTTTCCATGCAGATGTTTGGTTGTATTGTCTTTTGCAAAACAACATCAACAGTCTGTTATCTACTCTTAGTACACTGACATTTACATTGGCTTTATACATACAAGTGTTCCTCAATTGCAACAATTTCCATCAACATATATTTTGTTCTCATTATTGTTTTCTCCTTCTAATTTACATGATCCCAACTCAATACATGTTAGTGATGAATCTATATGATCATGTTTCCCAGATTTTCTTTCAAACATGAAAAATAAGCCTTATCATTTTCTATGAATATGTCAGTTCGACATGACTTTTTAACAAGTGTGTTACATATATACATGTGAAGATTTCTAGCAATCCACAACCAAAAAATCCATGAGCTATTTCCTGATTCTGGCTGAAGCAATTTTACTTTGCCCTTCATGATACATTACATTATGTGTATTCATCCAAATTGTAGAATATACATCCGAAATACCAACATCAGAAGTTGCATCAACCACTCTACCATCAGTTACCTCCCAAGAAACATTTGAAACAACTGAACAGTCTAGATCTTCTGAAGCAAGTATTACCACAATAGAAACAGGCACACAGGAAACAGATTACCTTTCATCCACTTTGGATTCTGGTACTGGGCTAACACAAACATCTGAATATGCAACAACTACTATTGGAACTGTTGCTTCCACTGATTTGCCAACAGCTCCTTTCTCAACAGGTGAATACGTTTGTCCATGCAGATGTTTGGTTTTATTTTCTTTTGCAAAATAACATCAACAGTCTGTTTACCTACTCTTAGCACACTGACATTTACATTGACTTCATACATACAATACAAGTGTTCCACAATTGCAACAATTTCCATCAACATATTTTGTTCTCATTATTGTTTTCTCCTTCTAATTTACATGATCCCAACTCAATACATGTTAGTGATGAATCTATATGATCATTTTTCTCTGATATTGTTTCAAACATGAAAAATAAGCCTTATCATTGTCTATGAATATGTCAGTTCGACATGACTTGTTATCAAGTCTGGTACATATATAAATGTGAAGATTCCTTGCATTCATCAACAAATAATTGCATGTGCTGTTTCTCAATTCTGGCAGAGGCAATTTGACTTTGCCCTTCATGATACTTTACATTATGTTTATTCATCCAAATTGTAGAATATACATCTGAAATACCAACATCAGAAGTTGCATCAATCACTCTACCAACAGTTACCTCCCAAGAAACATTTGAAACAACCGAACAGTCTAGATCTTTTGAAACAAGTATTACCACAATAGAAACAGTCACACAGGAAACAGATTACCTTTCATCCACTTTGGATTCTGGTACTGGGCTAACACAAACATCTGAATATGCAACATCCACTATTGAAACTGTTACCTCTACTGATTTGCCAACAGCTCCTTTCTCAACAGGTAAATAAGTTTTTCCATGCAGATGTTGGGTTTTATTTTCTTTTGCAAAATAACATCAACAGTCTGTTTACCTACTCTTAGCACACTGACATTAACATTGACTTCATACATACAATACAAGTGTTCCTCAATTGCAATTCCTCATTTTTGCCAGATTTTCTTTCAACATGAGAAATAAGCCTTATCATTTTCTATGAATATGTCAGTTCGACATGACTTTTTATCAGTGTGTTATATTTATACATGTGAGATTCCTA